TTTAAAATCAAAATGAAATTTGACTAGTCTTATAAGAAAAAAATTATCAAAGTTGATTCCAAATAAATGCTAATTTCCTTTATCTAATGGTGTAAATATCACGTACTTAACAAAATTACTTGCCTACTATGCCCCTTTCCAAAGATGATACTATTAATAAGTCTCTTTGAAAAGAAATAGTTCATTTTGAAATATTTATTTGAATGATACTCTCTTCCTGGCACTAAAAGATCAATATCCAGCACCTTGCAATTGACCACTCACTGTGTCTCCCTGGGTGACTGAACCAAATGGGATTGTCACATTCTGTCTTCAGGGTACTACTTTGCCTCAGTAGACACATCCATTATAGATAAGTAGTGATAATTATTATCTTTAATTTACTGTTCATAATTAATTAAATGGGAAGTTCACGGTGTGATCTGTGAATGTTTTGCCCTCTAGTGGTTAAAGGAATAAAGTAGAATGTAAAACCTGCCAAGAAGTTGGAAACCAGTAAAATTCTGAGGGTCTTCCAAGTATTCACAAAGTTACATAGGAATTCAAGAGCATACACATAAACCTTGTGCATAAGACTTCTCCAGGTTAGAACAAAATCAAGACATGAGTATCTCATAGAAAATGGCTCCACAGATTAAACTCTTTGATCAAACTTTCTTATTCACTTAGAACACATCCATTGTTAGTGTTTATTTTGCTTTATTTTAGTATCTAAAGGAATGTGAAGGTACATCATTTAGATTTGTATTATATATGTGTAATGACATATTATCAAATAAACTTTATCCCAGGAATGCTCTAGCTGTTGTCGCATAGTAACTAGTAAAATGAACTACTAAGTCCTACTTGTTTTACAAGCAACACAGACACAATGATCTTTAAATAACCATGTCAAACATGTAAAAGGAGAATATATAAAGCCTTAATTGAATACTCCTTAGATTGAAAAAAAAAAGGAATTCTCCCCTTTCTGTAGAATACTTGGGAGAATCTTACAGCTTAAGCAAATGTAAATATCCTTCAAATTCATACATAAACATACAAATATGAATGACCTTGAAAATCATCTATAGATGGACAGTACAGTGTGTTAAAAGACACAATTCACAGATCAATAATATCATTAGTTTTTCCCAATAAGAATTCATATGGGTTTCTACTCTGTGTACTTGACCTTGTTGAATGAAAATGAGTCTTTCAGAAAGAAAATTATACAAACACTTAACTGTAGTCATTTGTTCAGATATTCATCAGTCTTCAATTTCAGTTGATAAATATCTTACTAAGCCTGCTTTGCTTGAATAATCAGAACTTTCTACTTTAGCTTCATGACTTCAACTCTGGTTTTTCAAAGGGCAATTGTGAATGCACATGAAAGTTTTTTCATGTCTGTCATCTTATCTGAGCATATTCTTATTTTAAAGATTATGGATTTGCTAAACCCTATAGGCAATGAAAATGATGTGATCAATGATATAATGGCTATATGTCAACCATTGAATAGAAATAGAAGAGCAAACATGTACTTTGGAGATAAAGAAATGCCAGCCCAGGATTCAAATTCTGCTGTAAACTTTAGTTGAGGGTAAATTAACCAAAAAGCTGCAGTCTCAAAGGGAATCACCACAGAAGTATATGATTATGTTGACTATTTTACTTAAAGTATTAAACTTATTTAGAAGTTCACAAATACCTCTGTTCTTTTGTTCCATAGCCAGCTGCTTCTCAAGAGTTTCCCTTAGTTCTCTTTCCCTTAAAAAATCCATCTTTAGCTCTGTTTTCTCCAGTTGGACCTGTTTTTCTTGAGCTCTGGCATTATCTATGGCAACTTTCAAAAGCCCCTGTACAAAGAAAGTATTCAGAATGGCAATATTTTGGTGCAACGCACATTATTGTCATCACTTCAAATCATTTTAAAAGAAAAGTACACACTTATCAAATTCTTTAATTCTTACCTACTCACCCAGCACTCATTAGGATAAATACTATAAGCTACAGAATTTTTAAATCTAATTAAACTATTATAGAAAGACAAATACTTATGGCATGCAGGTACCATTGCTTCTAATTAGAACATCTAGATCCAAACCTAAATGGGGGCAGTACATTAACATGTCTAAAAATTAAGAACTGAGAAGAAAATTAGGTAGACATGTTTCCACAAGGAGATCTCTTCCACAAGCAGTCATGCATCCCTACAGATCCTGGCACTCTCCCTAGTCTCTCAGACCTAGTTCTCCCGCTCCCTAGCAAGATTACACTGACTGAAATGATCTTTTCTATGGTTCTATGTTTAACAATTTGTTTCTACCACAGGGAATTTGTTCCTCTCCTGAATGTTTTTCCTTCAGATCACATTCTTTATTTCTTCTTTGCTCAAAGTTACTGTTGAAGAGAGGCTTTCTCTTACCACCCAATTTGGAATAGCTCTCCAAGTGTATCTTGTTACTCCCTCCTTAAAATTCGTCATTGCATTTATCATTATATAATACTATCAGGTATTTATTTACTGATTATGTTGTGTCTGTTCCACAAAAAGGTAAGTTCTCTGAGTTAGAGAATTGTCTCATTTTTAGCATTATTTCCCCAAGGCCCAGAGAATGCCTAGAATATAGTAAATTTTAAAAATTCATAAATAGTAATTATAATAATGGCATATTTTCAGATATATAGAAAATTCAGTGGATCCAAAACATAGTGACTGTGTAGTGCATTAGTTTTTAAAAGTCATTATAATGGTTGTAATAATCTGAGAATAACTTTTAGGAAGTTCTTTGACAGCATAATTTCCAAAAGCATATAGTAAAAACAAAATGTATCTATTCACACAACTGATTAAGGAGATAGATACATAAAATTTGACTCATTGTATATGTTTTTAAATGACAATATTTTAAGATTTTTGCAAACAAGATTATGAAAATCTGTTGAACATAAGCTAAGATGCTTAGGACCAAAGTTACTAGTAAAAAATAGAGATAAAATTCTATTTTTACCAATTCCACAATGCAAAATGATATTTGAAGTAGAAAGTATTTTGCCTTTGTGAATATTACAGACTGAAATTTTCAACTGAAATTATAAATGGGATGGAAGTGGATGCTGTTTATAGGTGTACTTGAAGATGAGATCCCTTTGCAAAAGTCAACATGAGAACACGAGCAGTGTGAATCAGGAATTTCTACTCCAGCTTGACCGGAAAACCCTACAGAGAGGAAGTCTTACTTAAGCCTACCAATGTAGCTTTGACCATTGTCATAAGCCATTTTTATTCTCTTTCCAAGCACATATAAATTATTTCATATTTGCTAAGCCTGACCCTGAACTTTCTGGTATACGTTTTGTGTTATGAAACAAGCTGGAGAAGGATTTTTATGTAGCAGCTTTCCCCTCCCCACTCTTTTGTTGTTTAACAATAAAGCATAGCTGCTAAGGAAACTGCCATCTTAACTAAATTCAGAAACATTCCTGTATGTTTCTTCTTCATCAGGAACAAACAATTAGTAACAAATGAAAGAGATCATTACATCAAGTGCCCTTTTAGATCACCCCAATTAAAATTTTAGTTTAGCTGTATTTTAATTCTAAGATACCAAATTCTAATTTTCTGCTCTGATTGCTCTTGTTGACTTATCTTTGAAAGATGTACTCTCTGTGCAATGTCTAGAGATTATTTAGCAAGATGCCAATGTTGGCACCACTTAATGTGTTGATTGGTTGTACTATCAGTAGCTTTTAAAATAAATTACTATTAAACTATTATTGTCCTTGGCTGACAAAACACGATATTTTGGTGTTCTTTAAATATGAAACAATCGTTATGAATAAACATGTTGAATAATGTTAAACTGCTGAATTTGTGTAATTTTATATTAATATTCCTTTGTAAAGAATGAAGTTGCTAAGAGCATTTATGTTTACTGGTTCCTATTGTTAGAGTTGCTGCTAATGTGGTTCATGGCAATACATTACCTATTCCTGCTGATTATGTCTGAAAAATATTAACTTTTAGTATCCAATACCCACTAGGGAGTACTTATAAGCTATATAAAATTAAATTCAATTTTTAGACTTTAAATCAGTGCACATCAGTAGGAGTCCAGTGTGAACAAAAATCTGCACTATCGCCAAACTGATGCATATGCAAAAGTATGTTATTGCCAGTGACAGTTCTGCTGCAAAAAATACAGAAAACCGATTAAATTTCAAAGCAGCAGGGGGCTGGGGAAAGCAATAGCAAGTAGTGTTGGCAACATGTACAAATCATTAGGACACCATTTTAACCATCCGTGATAATAATATTTTCATATTTGTGTAACTTCTGTAGAATTTGCAGGTAGATGGTGTGCAAGAGATCACACTAAATGCTGGGTCTCATTTGGACATGGAGTACCTTGTAAAATGCTGTGACAACAATGAGAATTGCGTAGAAGACTTAAAATATGATTTTTTTTCTCCAAGAGAAGTTCAGTTCTCAGAATGTGGATAGAAATATATTTTAAATATATCTCAATGAACAGAAACAATGGTTTATTAGCCTTAAGTTTGTTTTCCATAAGTGAGAAGGGATGATTGTCATAATATACAAATATTTTTGTTTTTTAAAATGGTCTATCTTGTAAACTAAATTATTTTCATAGAATGTGATAATTTTTTTAAAAAAGGTACTTCAATTCATACTAGCAATGTTTCAACTATATTGCTTAGAAAGTAAAAAAAAAGTGCATAAGAATACTTCAAGCAATACTGGCATAAAAGAAGTAAGATTTCTTAACATATAAAATAATAAAAGAGGAAAAGCTTACTTTGCTGATGTTCATATTTGATGCAAATTGAAAATGGCATCCTAATGATTCTTCAGCATGAATTTTGTCATGGAAGTTTGACATATAAAGAAACTTATCATATGATTCAAACTTCCATGACAAAATTTGCGCTGAAGAATTTTTCTTCTGATGAGTGCTTCATGAAAGTCTTTAGTACTCAGCCATTGTATCACCCCCGCAAAAAAATAAAAAACCTAGGTCCAGAAAAATAAGATGACTAAAACCGCAGACTAGAGAAGTGATTAAGCCTACATCTGCACCACAGCAACTTCATCTTTAGTTTTCATTTTTAATAATATTTCCCTATCTCTTTGGAGAATGAGAAGGAATTGTTTCCCTTGGAACCTGGAGTTTTGTAGATTAAAAAAAATGACAGTATCAACTGGTGTATTGTCACAGAAGTTCTTATAACAAAAGAACTGTACTCAATTGAGTTTATGGTCATTGTTTTTCAAAGGTGATCAATGACAGACTCCCTGTAGAAAAAGCATTTTCAAGGATAAACCCATCTTTTGATTCACATAGTTATGAGTGGTAGAATGGCAACATGGACTATGAAACCAGACTTCCTCTGAAATCCAGACTGTACCAGTACTGTGTGACCATATCTGCCTCTGTATTATTCAATGGAAAATGGATAATCTAATCCAATGTATAGACTGGTAAAGAAGATTCAGTCTAAAAGGAACATAAGTACTGTAGATACTGACACATTAAAACTATTCCTTAAGTATTCACACTTCTATTATCATGGAATACAATACAAATTT